AAGTGAGAGCTTCATTCAAATTTCTTTTCACTCATCCTTCTAGCAAATTAGTTACATGTCCTTTTAATACATGGCTGGTAGGAGGCTGTACTGACGATTCCCACTACTAACCGCATGCACAGTCCGGTCTGTGTTTACAGCTAAGGGATGAAACACAGGAAGACTGCATCGTAAAATATCACCCCACTACATCTAAAAGATAAAGGCAGTTTGCACCATAAAAAAACACCATACATATGGCCTGCGTACAATCCTGTTGGTCTATTATTTCATTAAATTTTGCAAGTACACGTGAATTAATTTGTGTAGCATAAATAGGCTGGTGGACGCAGAGCTACTTTCTTACTGAACGCCGAGAATTCCAGTTCATCAGCCAATTCCCCAACGATTCATTCATTCGTTTCGATGGTAAATTGGTATTGGGTGGCATTCCAGGAATTCAAAACTGCCATCATCTTGCTTCAAAGCAACCGTAAAAAAAAAGGAGTCATCGGCTGCTTCGTCAAGTGATGGTTGATAATAAAGTACTCCACCACTTAAGCAACTTGCAAATGCTTCTATCTCTCATACAGGATAAATACAAAGGAAGTGATTTTGACATTGATGGATACAATCATTTATTACCTTCACGCGATTCACAATGCCTATATGCGACAGTGCTGCAGCATGCATTTTCGGCTCTTTGCTGTCCGGACTCTCATCAATGTCTTCACTATCCGATGCTTCCTCATCTAAAATTAAGCCAAATTTAACTGGTAAATTGATAAAGCTTCCCCTTCATAAGAAGCCAGTGAAAAATAAAAAAATACGGTTGCTAATAATCGTTGGCGACGCGCACTGGGCGGGCCCATGCGATCATGCGCTTTTGCAGTGTTTCGTGCTGTAATAAGATTACTCGAAATTCCGCTAGCTAGAAACCTCTGACATACAGATCCTCGAATTTCGGGAAGTTAATTGTCCACGCTACACTTGGACAGGGAACATTCTCTTGAAATCCCAGGTTCCCAGCTTTTTCGGTCCCCGAGTTACTCAAATTCCAGCGAGAAAATTTCACGGGGCCGTACGTGGCAACCACATATGACTGGGGGCTGGATTTGATAAATTTAAGTAGTAAATGAGCTAGGAACATTTCCAGAAAGTTTCAACCTCCCAGCTCCCCTGATTTCGGAGTTAGCCATTTTCCCACCAAAAACTTTCACGGGGCCGTATTTGATAACCATGCAAAACGAGGGGGCTGAATTTGATAAATTTAAGTTGTAGATGAACTGGGAATATTCGTTGAAAGTTTCAGCCTCCCAGCTTTCTTGGTTCCCGAGCTAGCGATTTTCGCGCCAAGAACCCTCACGGGGCTGTACGCGGGAAACGCGCACACCTGGGAGCTGAATTTAAAATCCTTGAGTTCTATATGGATGGGGAACATAATCCCAAAATTTCAGCTTCCTAGCTTTTCTGGTTTCTAAGTTGGCGATTTTTACGCCAAACCTTTAAGGCACTCAAATGCGGGGTCTAGACGTGCGTGAGGATTGGTACCGGGGTCCTGGGGTGGCACTTGGTTGGGGAACCCATTCGCAAAATTTTGGCGCCGGAGCTTGCTTGGATGTCCAGTTGAAATACCCGGACAGACGCACACACACACACACGCACACCGGGGTCGTTACAATATGCGTTTTCGCATTTGCATATACGCAAAAACTCATAAAAATGGAAAAAATCAGTTAAAATTTCACAGCCTGATAGAAGAAAAACACGATGTCCCAGAAGGATGAAAACCCCAGCTATTTCCAAAAAGGTCCTTGAAATTGTTAAAAATTTACTTAAAAACAACTGAAAATTGGTTGAAGTTACCGCATAAAATAAAAGGAAAGTCTTCAAAATGTTATTACAAAAGTATATGAAGTGAAATGAGACCTTCAATTGGATGTAAGTTTGAGAGTCGCATGACAATCAGCTCGTTGCTCATCGCTTTTTCGGCCTGTGTTCCGCCAACCAGATCACAGCTAAGCGGGAATCCGCTGCGCCCATCACCAAGCTCATCATCAATGGTGTCGAAACTCAAGCATGGCCATTCTGTAAATAGATAATCAGAAATAAGCCAGTGATTTTGTTCACAAAAAAAACTCGTAGTGAGTCAAGCAACGGCAACGCTCAGAACGAGATGACGGTACTTATCACACACTAAGGACATATTCAGTACACCTTAAGAACATTTAAACATGGCCAAATGTTTCAGAAATTTTAAAGATACAAACAATGAATATCGCTGGCTAGGACACTGGAAGAGGACGGGAGCCTGAAATAGCAGAATTAAGAACTGGCCCTACATGTCATGTCCGAAAGGCATTTTACGTGTAGTTAATCTGTGTGTTTCATCCTTTAGCTGTAAACACAGACCGAGCAATGTGTGCGGATAGGAGGAGGAAGCATCAGTACAGCCTTCTACCCGCCTGAAGTCTTCGATGCATTAAAATATGCAGCTTGCCTGGCGCTGTTGGCCCATCGTGGAGAGGAACACAGTCGAATTTTGACAACTAATAAAGAACTGGAAGTGCTATTTAGATCTCCCAGATAAGCAAGTCTGTATATGCAGAGATCTGATAACTTGTCTGTGTCTTGATAAACGTTCCCAGTTTAAGGGGTAAAAGAAACGAGAGGGAAGGGGGAAAGCCGGTTCAGACAGCAATTTCTTTAGCAGGAATAGTGGATTAAGAAGATTGGAATTAGGTGTCATGTATAAGAAGACATTTCACGATGCAGTCTGTGTTTCATCCCTTAGCTGTATACACAGACCGAACAGTGCATGCGGGTAGGAGTGGGAATCGTCAGTACAGCCTCCTACCCGCTATTTTTTGAAAAGACATGCAACTAATTTGCAAGAAGGATAAGTGAAAGAGAAGAAGAGAAAGTGTAATAGCATGAAAGTAATAAAAGTGATGGAGCAGATGGAAGAGGATGAGACTAACACATGAGACGGGAACGTCAAAACTGCCAGAAAGAGAATAATTAGACGACGAAGCAGTGACCAAAAGTAATTGGGAAAGCTATCAGTTGCACATCCAGAAGATCAGACTAAGAAATACGTTTGATTCAAGTACTCAAAATTTGAAAAGATTTTTCCAAGATTGATTTACTCATTTTTTGTACAGTACTGGGAGATTCTTAAGGCAAAAGATTGTTGGCTTCCGTAAAAAACCACTTAACAACTTTACCCTCTTCTTCGATTACCCTACTTGAACCGTCCAATTTTGGTTCGGCCTTCTATTGCTTCTACATACCTTCCAGAAATTTCGCTGAATCAGCAGAAAGTTTTTAATTAGCCTCCTCTAAATTAACTCAGTAACTGGACTCTAAATAATCACCAGTTGCCTTAGACAGCCCTCAAATATTACTTGTTTCGAAGCTATGATACATGCGATATGCTTCAGGATCAAATTCCCATTCCTCGTCTTCACGCAACGGTCGGCTTACACCAGGTATATATACCTAAAATTGTATACAACTGACAAAATTAATCCGAAAAAACATAATTTGATACAATTTTTGGCGTTTTTATTGCATCTGTGCAAGTGCAAATTGACGAGATTTTCCCGCGCGTACATCTGTTACGCATTTTCAACTTAACGCACAAGTAAGCTAGAAAGCTGAAATTTAAAAAACCGGAGCTTTTAAATTTTTAATTGTCCAAAGCTTCGATATTAGTCTTCAAAATTCGCTGGACCTGGAGCTGGGAAGTTAATTACCAGAAGCACTGGACAATCTTCGATCTTCAACAATTTTGGTTCCACAACCATCCCCTTGGTTCCTGACTGTTGTCGGTCGTTCTACTTATATGCACCATTTATTTGGACAGATTTAACTGAATCAGGCAAGCTCTATGCTTTTTTGATTAGGCCCTTAGCCCCTTCTCGGTTAAAAAAGGCCTGGCTCGGTGCTTTATGGCTGTTAAACCTAGCCAAAGGGCAATAAGCCATGCATGTCCAGCCTGAATGTACATTTGTCCCAACAAACATAGGCCGAACCAGGGCAGCTTCTTGGGGGGAGGGATTTTGCTAATTTTCCCCCCCCCCCCCCCACTTTCCTCGGACACCAGTAAATCGCAAACTCTACTATCCCCCCTCTCCCATTTACCACTACATCGGAAGCCTCACTACCTTTCTCCCCTCCCCCGGTCGTTAATATATCGGATGTTCCGCTATCTCATCCCCCCCCCCCCCC